TGGGACTTGGCCTGCTTCAGATTCCCTCAGAATCCAGCCAGAGAGATCCCACAAGTGGGTGAAAAATTGTAGGAGAGCAGACTTAGAAAATAAAACACCTAATCAAGTACATAAACATTATCGATTATGTGCCAAACACTTTGAGACCTCTATGATCTGTACAACTAATCCTTATAGGACAGTTGTTGGAGATAATGCAATACCAACGATATTTGATCTTACCAGTCACTTGTACAATCTATATAGTAGACACAGAAAACGAATAAAAGAACTGAATGAAATCAGGATACTGAAATGGAAAAAATTTGACAAAATTTCTGAGCAGGAACTAAAAACATACAGAGATTAACAACAGCAATGCTCAGAACCCCAATGCAGAAGAAGGTGGTGAAGAAGAGGATGAGGATATTTTACCTTTAATTCTTAAAGAGAAGGAAAAAAGAATACTTAAGATCTTTATTTGAAATTTTGATTCTTATGGGGAAAACAAAACATGTCTGGATGGACATGAAGCTGTTGAAATCCGAGGTTTCTTTACTCCTGATAAATTTCAAGCACTGAGATTCTGAGAAAGTGCTTTGAGACAACAGCAGTCAACACACTGTTCTGTTAAAAAACATGACAGAAATAGATGCTCGAGATCTGTGACAGCTGCATTCGGGAGGAAACCCTCAGGCAAGTGAGAGACTCACTTATTTTCGTTTATTACAAAGACAGAGCACCTGCCCACTATGGTGAAGTTTGTTGACGAATCTCATAACCTGAGAGAGGAATTTGTGGACTTCCTGCCTTAAGATGCTGATGCCGAAATTTTTTTTTTTAATATATTTTATTGATTTTTTACAGAGAGGAAGGGAGAGAGATAGAGAGTTAGAAACATCAATGAGAGAGAAACATCGATCAGCCGCCTCCTGCACATCTCCCACTGGGGATATGCCTGCAACCCAGGCACATGCCCTTGACCGGAATCGAACCTGGGACCCCTCAGTCCGCAGGCCGACGCTCCATCCACTGAGCCAAACCGGTCTCGGCGATGCCGAAATTTTAACTATGAAATTTCAAACCATGATAACTGAGAAGAGAGGATTATACATGGAGTATTATTGTGGCCAGGTTTACATTGTGTCCAGTGGATTTTCTTCTAACATGAGAGTTGTTCCTTCTTGATTTTTAGAGAAATATCCCTAAGCTGTCTACACACTCGCCCCTTCCTGTGCCTTAAATATGTGGTTGGCAAAACTGGTGTCTATCATTGGAGTATCTGTTGAATTAGGAACAATTCAGGAAGTTGGTTCTTTTTTCCATCAATCACCACAAACTGCTTTTAGAGCTTTACAGTGTAATTTCTGTCCTCTTTCAGAACAATGAAGAAAGGGGTCAAGAACTGAAGGAAATTTGCCATTTTTGGTGGACAGGCAGGCATGGTGCTTTTGAAATTTTAGTGGGCCTCCTACAAGCACTTGTTTTATGTTTAGATGATATAAATAGTGACACAACTATAAGATGGAATAACTGTATAGCAGGCTGAGAATTTGTACTCTATAGTGCAGTAACTGATTTTGATGACATTGTTATCATTGTCATTCTTAAAAATGTTCTATCTTTTATAAGAGCCTTTGGGGAAAATCTCCAGGGGCAGACTTCTGATGTCTTCTTTGCAGACAGTAGCTTGACTGCAGTGCTGCATTCGCTAAATGAAGTGATGCAAAACATTGAAATTTATCATGAATTTTAGTTTGAGGAAGCCACTAATTTGGCAACCAAACTTGATATTCAGATGAAGCTCCCTGGGGAAATTTTGCAGAGCTCAGCAAAGGAACCTGGAATCTCAGCTGACCTCTGAGGGTTACTCTAAAGAAGCTCTAAGTGTTCCAACAGTGGAGCACATCATTCAGGAACTGAAAGACAGGTTCTCAGAACAGCATCTCAGAGCTCTTCAATGCTGATCTCTGGTACCCTCTGTCATGGTACAGCTCAAATTCAATACATCGGAGGAGCACCATGCTGACATTTACAGAAGCAACCCACCTTATCCTGGTACACTCTCAGCTGAGCTTCATTGTTGGAGAATCAAGTGGAAAAACACAGAGGGAAAGACAGAGCACTTCCACCCACCATTTATGAAGCCCCCAACCTGCCAGACATCAAGTTTTTTGCCAATGTTTATGCATTGCTGAAAGTCCTATGTATTCCTCCTATGATGAAGGTTGAGAAGGAACATTATGAAAATGGGCGAATTGTCTCAAAGCATACCTGAGGAACACTTTGACAGGCCAAAGGTCAAGTAACTTAGCTTTGCTTAACAGAAATGTTGATATAAAACATGATTTGGATTCAATGGTGGACACATATATCAAACTCTATACAACTAAGTTAGAACTTCTACAGATAATTCAGAAACCATCAAAAATACATGGGAGACTTTTAAAATAGGTTTTCTATTTGATATTGAAAAAAATCTGTGAGAAATTTGAAAACATCTTATAGAAAACTTATAAGGTATATGTAAACCACTGAACCACTGAATATGCTGAGTAGATTAGCCATTGATAATCTGCCTGTTTAAATGGCGCCCATTTGAACTTTCATGCTTTGGAGAACTAACTGTTCTTCTAGAAAACAGCATTGAAAGTGCCATGTCACATTTCTGTGTGATCTCTGCTAATGGCACTTTGCAATTGTTTTAGAAAAGTCATTTTAGACATAACATTTATTACTGGATCCAGCTGTCATGGACTGAGTTATCAGTTCTTTGTAGAAATAAATTTTGAGGAGGTGTGGGAGGAAGGAATACATATTATAAAATCTTATCGTGAAGCTCACGACTAACCTTTGACTAGCAGGAGTATTGAGTATGCTGTGAAAAATCTGTAATGGGCAGTTAAGGGAATTACCAGACAGTGAAAGAAACATGTGAGTTTGCCAAACAAGGATTTCAGTGTCAATTTTGTCTTTATTCAAAGATCTTAAAGGAACAAGTTGCAGTTAAAGATTGAATGGAAGAACCTACCATTGTTGTTCCACATCTGGATGTTGCTCTTTGTATTCCTTTATTTTTGAACTTATATCTTCAGAAGCTTTTTAGCAGGTATATGTCAAACACTTCTCCTTCATGGTTCAAGACAGAGACAGAGACAACAGATAATGACAACCAGTTTGTCTGTTTATTCTGTCTTTTTCCATGACTATATCTACTGCCTCATCTTGATTTATAAGCAAATCTTGGAAAACCGCCAAAACCGGTTTGGCTCAGTGGATAGAGCGTCAGCCTGCGGACTGAAGGGTCCCAGGTTCGATTCCGGTCAAGGGCATGTACCTGGGTTGCGGGCACACCCCCAGTGGGAGATGTGCAGGAGGCAGCTGATCGATGTTTCTCTCTCATCGATGTTTCTAACTCTCTATCTCTCTCCCTTCCTCTCTGTAAAAAAATCAATAAAATATATTTAAAAAAAAAAAAAACTTGGAAAACCTACAAAAATACGTTTTGTGGTTATCTAGGAATAATACAGAAAATATTGCCATTATTTTTGGTGAAGAAAGCCAATCTTATAGAATAAAAGGGTAATATGCAAACCAACTGAACAGCGGAACAACCGGTCGCTATGATGCGCACTGACCACCTGAGGGCAGACGCTCAACACAGAAGCTGCCCCCTGGTGGTCAGTGTGCTCCCACAAGGGGAGCACCACTCAGCCAGGAGCTGGGCTCACGGCTGGCAAGCACAGTTCAGTGGCAGTGGCGGGAGCCCCTCCTGCCTCCGTGGCAGCGCTAAGGATGTGCGACTGACAGCTTAGGCCCGGGCCTCTAGTTATATAAAGTTTATTTCAGTATAAATAAAATATGAATTTTGTTTTTAAAAAAGAACTATTATAAGGGGAGCAGAGTGGCGCAGCGGAAGCGTGCTGGGCCCATAAAAAAGAACTATTATATCTTGCTGGAGAGATACTTTGAGACTATGTTCATATCCTCTTCATCATACTTTTTTTTTTAATATATTTTATTGATTTTTTACAGAGAGGAAGGGAAAGAGATAGAGAGTCAGAAACATCGATGAGAGAGAAACATCGATCAGCCACCTCCTGCACATCTCCCACTGGGGATGTGCCTGCAACCCAGGTACATGCCCTTGACCGGAATCGAACCTAGGACCCTTCAGTCCGCAGGCTGATGCTCTATCCACTGAGCCAAACCGGTTTCGGCCACCATAGTTTTATACATGTTTTATCATCAGTATTGATGATACTTGCCTGAAACATTTTGCATAATGGTGATTTTTTTTTATTTTCATCATTCTTTCTATGCTCATTAATTTGAATTCTACCATAAAGAAGCCTTTCCCTTATTTCTATATTCTTCTTTTAAAAATCCCTAAATTTTAAGTTAAGTCCTTGGTATCTGATACTTGGGTCTGTCCAGTTCTGAGGTATTCACTTATGTGCCTGCATAACGAAAAAAAAACCACCTTTATTTTGCATTTAAACCTTGTGATTTTAGTTCCCATTAATAGAATCTTTGAGGGAAGAGTATGCTAAACGTTTTGCGGGGTAGAGAGAACATTTAAATTATTCAAGAGAACTGCTTTTATACAATTTGGCTGTACTCGCTTACACATAAAAATTAATGCTAATTGGATATAATTTCCATCTATTCATTAAAACAAATCCCAAGCATTCCAGAAGTCCTTAGCCTAATGTTATTCCAGGCACTTGAAAACCAAATTGCTTTCTTAAGAAAGAAAAGTATGACTTTGTCTTTTATGCAAACACTTATTCCCACTAATGGTGGGGCCTTCTCGCTCCTCTTTCCCAGCTACCCTCCTCCTCCCTTTCCTTATCTTCATCCATCAGGCATTCATTCAACAACCACTTCCTGAGAACCTACTGTGCACCTGCCTATTCTCTAAGTGCTGGGGCCAAAGCAGTGAACAAAACAAACCTGAACCTCTGCCCTATTGAGCACCCAGTTTCATGGGGGGACGTCAACTACACACAAAATGACAAATGCTGTCAGTGGGGGCTGCTCTGAAGAAACATGAGGCAGAGGAAGGGAAGAGAGATTCTCGAGGAGGGAAGCCTCTCATTCAGATGGCATGCGCAGGGAAGACCTCACGTGAGGAAGATGAGGTAAGAGTTGGCAGACAGCTGAAAGACATGAGGGAGAACATTCCAGGAAAAGGAACAGCAAGTGCCAACTTCTATTTTAGGGGCCATAATTGGGTCACATGTGCTAGGGAGAGGGGCTGCTGTATGTTTGTCCCCAAACTGGCCCTCTTTACTATATACACGTAGCCTTCTCTTGCTAACTCTTACTTAGGCTTGCAGTGCTTGCCAGTTTATCTCCCCACCCCACTTAATTTTTTTTAGTTTTTTCTATTACAATCAACATATAATATTATATTAGTTTCAGGTGTACAACATAGTGACTAGACATTTATATACCTTCGGAAGTGATCACCTCGATAAATCTAGTACCCATCTGACACCATATATAATTATTACAATATTATTTTTTTAATATGTTACAATATTATTTATGTGTAGTTCTGAATATCTTTCCTTACCTGGAAGAACACACACACACACACATATATATATGAGATTGAGAGACTGAGACTCTTTTTTTGATTGATGAGTGGCAGCTGACAGTTTTTAAGCCTCAACCTTTCCTTTTACTTTCTGTCTCATCCACATAGAAAATGTGGCTACTCCCTCCTTTGGTACATTAGAAACAAATTTGAGCCCTGGTCAGTGTGGCTCAGTTGTTTGGGTATCGTCCTGTGCACCAAAAGGTTCGATTCCCAGTCAGGGCACATGCCCAGTTTGCAACTCGATCCCCAATAAGGAGTGTGCAGGAGGCAAGGCAGCTGATTGATGTTCCACTCTCACATCAATGTTTCTCTCTCTCCCCCTCCCTTCTTCTGTCTCTAAAATTAAAAAATATATATTTTTTAAGAACCAAATTCTGAATAAAGGTTAATAATACACACACACACACACACACACACACACACACACACACCTTTGCACTGTTCAATACTATAAGAACTAGCACGTGTGGCTACTGAGCACTTGAAATGTGGTGAGAGTTGCTAATACAAACTGGGTTTCAAAGACAGTATGAAAGAATGTAAAATGTCCCATTAATATTTATGTCAGTTATATGTTGAAATGGTATTTTGCATATATTAAGTTAAAGAACTATTAAAATTAATTTTCCCATTTCTTTTAACCTTTTTTAATGTGGGCACTAGAAATTTTTAAATTACATGTGTGGCTCACATTTATGCTTCACCTTATCTTTCTGTTGGGCAGCACTAATATATACCAAGGTACTAGCAACGGGTGTATCTTAGGGTGTTTTTCTCTAACTACCTTTCTTTTGGCATCTCTATATATTTTGAAAATGTATTTAAAAATAAAAAGACATTTTCATGCAGTTGCTGTCAGTGGAGGTGGGAAAGCCAGTTTGGGGGTTGGAAAAGAAGAGACTGGTCCTGATCAAAAAGTTCAGAAAATAAAAATATTTTCCAATCAATTGTATTTCTAAAACTAAAGTCCATTCTCTCATGCCCTGTGAGGGACAGGCAACATCTCTGTAAGCTTTGGAGGGAATGACTTTCCCTCAATTATAACATTTTATTCCTTTTTGAGAGAGGCCTACCCCAAAACTCTGCTATCTTCCTGTCCTTGGATCTGACTTCACCTCACCCTCTTCCTTACTATATTAGGCCCTCCTATAATGCACCCCTCACAGATAAAGGCATTATTTGTTTAATGCCTTTAATCTTGAATTTGCTTAATCTTTAGCTGTAAGCTCCATAAAGAAATAGACCATATCTGTCTTGTTCACTCAGCACTTAACACAATGTCTGATACCTATGACCTCAATAAATGGCTCAATAACTTTTTCCTACAGAAACATACAAGTACATTTAATATCGGTAGAAGGAAGCTTATTATTGGTAATTGTTATTATTGGTAAAAATTAAATGTCCACCAATAGGGAAAGAGCTGAGTACATTAAAGTATCTCTGTAATGTGGAATAATGTGCCTAAGCAAAACAATCAAAGAAAATCTCTTGCAATTCATTTCAAAGTCGTTAGCTATTAATCATGAATTATGTCCTGCCTTAAAAATCAATGACATTGCCGTTCTTCCATATCACATAGATAACTGACTTGATACTATCCTTTGACAGACTCAAGTTCAAAACTTAAACTTCTTTATATTCCAATGAGTTCTTACAAGGGTCTCCACAATTCAGAATTATAAGCATTTATCAGGATATCCATTGGTTATCACCAAAGAGCATCACCATCATCGTCACTGACATTTATGAAGGCACCATGCAAACATTTGATATATATTATTTCATTGTTATACCAGCTTTACAGATTAGGCTCAGGAATTGGGGCAGAGAGATCATAAAATAAATCTCAGTAATTCTACCTCCTGGTGCTCACCTTTGTGTAATCCCCTCCCCTGACTGTGGGAAGGACCTGTCACTTGCTTCTAGCGGAATAAGGCAAATGTGATGGGATGTCACTTCCACGTTTGCTTCCTGTTCCTGTTATATAAGACAGTCTGCTTTAGCTACCTGGAGTAGGAGACTCACCTGCCGGTTTGAGGAGGTAAGCATCCATACTAGAGCAGCTCAGTGAATGGAATTGTGAAAAGCTTCTAAAAATCCGAGGACAGCTGACAGCCACCAAAAAGTAGGAGGTCTTCATACAATCATACAGCCTTAAGGAAAGGAATTCTGCCAACAACCTAAATGAGTTTAGAAGCAAATTCTTCCCCAGTCAAGCTTCCAGATGAAACCTAGTCTGACCAACAACCTTGGGAGACCCTGACCAGAGGCTCCAACTAAGCCATGTTCAGACTCTTACCATAGAAACCATGTGATAATAAACAGGTATTGCTTTAAGCCATTAAATTTGTGGGACTCTGTTATGCAGGAATAGAACACCAATATAGGGGTTAAATTTCTAACCTCACAGCCACAGAAGTTGTGGAACTGGGTATCTAGCCCAGGTCTGCCAACTCCCAAGTCTATGTCCATAAAGGCCACACCCTGCCCTGCTACTCCCAAGTGGTGCAGTCAAATATATGTTTCAGACTCCGCTGGCATGAATCTCATTACAGTTGGAAGCATTTAATGAAGCAAGTGTTAAAAATAAAGACATTAAATCAGTGCATGTTTTATGGCTTGTTTGTTTATAAATTCACATCTGTCAGATCTATACCAAGTTCAGAAGTTTACTTTGGACCTGGAATACAAAATAGAAATTTGGTCTCTGCTTCCAGAAGCTTTCAACTATATCTAAAAATAACCATATGGAAAAAAAATAAAAATAACCATATGGGCCAATTCAAGCACAAAGAGCCATTGAGATCTAGCCATTCTTGTACATATATTTCATCAGTACACATGGACATGGACAAATGCCTGACAGGAAGTACATCATAATGTCAACCTCTAGGCGGTGAGATTGCGATTCTTAAAAGTTATTTGTCTTTCCTAACTAATAGAAATAGCCTTTAAAAATAAAAAGAATCGGCCCCTCTCTGTCTTCTCTGCACTGGGAGCAGTTCCCCTCATCCCCTGAAATGTATGCCTGCACCAAGTTTGTCTCCACCCCCTCCTTGGTCAGCTGAGCCGGTCAATGCTGAAAGGACCAAAGGCACCTGACAGATGAGAGCCTCAGCAGCTTGGCAGCCCCACGTCCCCTGACCTCGCTTATTTCTAACCGCGGCTTCCAAACCAGTACCATTTCAAGGGACACTGACACCGCAGCCAAGTTCATTGGGGCTGGGGCTGCCACAGTAGGGGTGGCAGGCTCTGGGGCTGGAACTGGGACTGTGCTTGGGAGCCTCATCATTGGTTATGCCAGGAACCCTTCTCTGAAGCAACAGCTCTTCTCCTACACCATTCTGGGCTTTGCCCTCTTAGAGGCCATGCGGCTCTTTTGCCTGATGGTGACCTTTCTCATCCTCTTTGCCATGTGAAGGAACTGTCTCCACCTCCCATAGTTCTATTTCCCATGTCTTGTCTGCCTTGTATGTTCACTTTCCTATACCTCCCTAGGAAGCCTGGGGAAAGTGGTTGGCTCAGGGTTTGACAGAAGGAAGATAAATAAATAAATAAATAAATAAATAAATAAATAAATAAATAAATAAATAAAAAATAAATAAAAATAATCATGCATAGCTATTACAGATCTTTTAAATCATTAAGTCTAACAACTAATCAGATAAAAGAATGTTTACAGAATATGGACTGTAAATATATTTCCTCTCAAAATTTAGTAGTATCTGCACAAGTTCTTGAGTGCCCCTTCATTATTTAGCCCTCAGTATAAATTCCGCTTATTTTTTGTTTTTGCTTCAACTATTTCACAAACATTATAGCAGTGCATGTTCTGAAAGATCTAACTATAATGCAGCACCTTTAAATCCGTTTGCATGAGATGAGCCCCCAGAACGCTGGAGGAATGAGTTCAATAGACTGTGAGTTGAGGAAACATCTGACAGAATTTAACCACAAACCTAGGGCATACACTGCAGGCCCATTAGATATTGGGGGAGGAGTGGCAATATATTGAGAGAACACAAATGCAAAATATTCCATAAGTGTTTTCAGCTGCCCATAGATGAAATAGCTAGACGGGGACGTTCTCACTGCAGCACACGCCGCCCCCCCCCCCCCCCCCGGAAGAGAAATGAAAGAGGCATTTGATGTGTCTTCCTGAGTGCACAAATCTAGAGCTCTTCCCCATGCTGTCATCCATGCATGCTCACACTGGACACTTCATCCTGCCTGCAGCCACTGGACAGGAGGGTTAACTGGAATCAGAGGGCTTGTTCACTTTGGGTGAAGGTGGGGTGAGAAAGACTCTTTATATGTTGACTTTGACGTGCTGAATTTTCTATTCTTCAAATTAAAACTCTTACCAAGTGGTGAGGCACAGAGAGCTGAGTTTGTCATGCACAGTCCCACAGCTGCATGCTCTATAGGGCAGGGATCAACACCTGGCACCTCACAAAGTGTCTGGCACATCACAGGGGCTCAGCAGGTAGTTGGGAAATGATGCAATGAAAAAATGAAAACTTCACTTTGAAAACCTCTCACCTCGATAAAATCAATAGCCTCCTAACTGTTCCCGTCCTTTCTACTTTTGCCCCTCTAAATCCATTCTCCACAAAAGAACCAAAGTGATCTTTAAAAAAAAAAAATCAGGTTCTAAAATTAGATCATAGTGATGGTTGCTGAACTGTAAATATACTAAAAACTATTGAAATGCAAGTAGGTTAATCATATAGTGTGTAAATTATATCTCACTAAGTCTGTTAAAAAATTAGTTATTCCCCTACTGGTTCCTTCTCCTCCCCCCCCTCCCCCCATTTCATTTAGAATTCACTAGGTTACTTATTGTTACCTGCAAAATCCTACCTACCCCCTGGGCTCTACCATCCTCTCCATGCTCAGCTCCCACCAGGCACCAATTACCTCCCAGACTAGTCCCTACATCTGCCTACCTTGTTCCTGCCTTCGGGTCTTGCACTTGTTCCTAGCTCTACTCCCAACAATCTTCTCCATAATATTCTGAATGATGTCTCTTATCATTCAGGTCCTCCCACTTATCTCATGCCATTGTGAATCACCACCCTACTACTCCTGTCACCCCAATCACTTCCTAGCATATTTTCATAGCACTTCTCATTCTTTGAAAATTACCTTATTAGGTTTTTGTTTTTTTTCTTGTTTCCCTTCCTTGAATACAGTATAAACTCTGTGAGGGTAGAAAAATCTCATTGTGTTTATCTATGAAGAACGGTGCCTTGAGATATATAATAGGTACTAACAAATCTAATGCTGACTGCCTGCTTCCTGCATAGACAATTTATTCTGCCAAGTCCATCAGAAAAAGAAATAACATTTAGCTTACTTTATCTTAACAATTTAAAAAATGTTTTAAAAAACTCATTGCTTTGGAATGACTTTTTATTTCTTACATGGCATGGCAAAATTAGCACACTTCTACCTGGGAACAGCTAATTTCCAAAGTTAGAAGATTAAAATAATGTTAATATTCCACTATATTTCAAACATATGCACTTTGGGAGGGGAGTTGGGGCGGGGGGCGGTGACAGGTATTCCAGTCCAAAGGCCCCTGAGGTCCGAAAGGTTGGCGACCGCCTGGACCATAAGAAGTATTTCCTCATTCATTTTCCTTGCTTATAAAACTTTTAAAAAGCCAAGGTAGTATTTGTAAAATATAGACTTCATCAAGAAAAGTTTTCCTCTTAATACTGTCCTCTTAGTAATTATAAGTAAAACCTTCCAGTTGTTTAAAAAAAAAAAAGAAAGAAAGAAAAAGATGTAGGTAATAATACCTACGTCTCCTATAGGTATTATTACCCAATAACTGATTTTCAAAAAGGACAGGACAGGCTACTAGATATCAAACTGCCCTCTACATCAAAGATGAAACAATGTTTTGCAGGTTTTAGGTTGCACATACTTGATGAGGTACAAGCTGTTGAAGGTGTGGAACAATTCTTCGCTCATCCCTCCCTGTCTGCGAGGGACACGTTCCGAGACCCCACCCCGTGGAGGCCTGAAACCACGAACAGGACGGAACCCTCTATCAAGACGCTGTGTTTTTTCCCCAAACATACATAATGATGATAAAGCTTAACTTATAAATGAGGCACAGTTAGAGATTAACAACTGGTAATAAGTTAGGACAATTGTAACAATATACTACAATAAAACTTAAGGGAACGCGCTTGCTCTCTCTCCTCTCAAAATACCTAATTATACTGTACTCACCCTCCTCGGACGCTGACTCCAGGCCGACCGCACGAGATGAGTGACGTGAGACGAGGTGAATGACGTAGGTTGTGACGAAGCGCTAGGCGACTACTGACCTTCTGACGATAATCAGGATCCTCGAGCCTTGATGATGTCATGTTTCCCACCCCCACATTTAATGCCTTTTCCATAACTACGCACTTATTAAGCACTGCGGTCCTACTGTTTGCCGTTTGAGGGACGACACCAGAACTAGCACAATTTCGTTTTCCTTCTTCAGATTCACGAATATAAGAGTCGTCCTTACCGTAGATCAGCAACCTAGGGTTACGGAATTTTCTTCTTTCCTTAAGTAGAGAACTTTACCTTTTCACTTAAAGGAAGTACTTTACGGCTGCTCTCTGGCGTACCCAAGTTGCCAACATCACTATATTTGAGCTTTGGGGCAACCATAAACTAAAAATCAGGGTTAGGTGGGCACAAGCACGGCGATACCTTGACCGTGAATCTGACAACCAAAATGGCGACTAAGCCTCTAATGAGCGGCGCGGCTACAGCGCGAAGACACGGGACCGAGGGGTGATTATCGCGAGACTTCACCATAACTCCGAACGCCATGTAATTTAAAACTTACTACCTCTGGAATGTTCCATGTAATATTTCTAGACCACAATTGAGAGTGGGTAACTGAAACCACAGCAAGTGAAACCATGGGTAAGGGCGACTACTGTATCATAAAAATAACTTGCTATTTCGCCAGAATGTGCATCAAAATTAAGTCATCTCTTGGCTCTGTTGTGTGTACCACACATAGGAAGCTATATATAAGACCAGTATGCGTCCAATCAATCATGAGGTGCAAGGACAAGCCAAACTTCCATCCTCTATGAATGCATTAATAACAAGCACATCTGATCTCAATCAGCTGACAATGATGATGTTCTCTCGGAATTGTTTCATTTAGCACACTGGCTTGCAATGTTTGGTTTGGGCACCACCTAATGGAAAAAGTGTTTTTAAAAATCCTACTTTGTGCCCAGCTGGTGTGACTCAATGGTGGAGACTCAACCAATGCACGAAGAAATCATTAGTTCGATTCCCTGTCAGGGAACATGCCTGGGTTGCAGGCTTGATCCCCAGTGGGGGGTCGTGCAGGACGCAGCCAATCCATGTTTCTATCCCTCTATCAAATCAATAAAAACATTTAAAAAGAAAAAAAATCCTACTTTGCTCCCTGAGGCTTGCTAAGTTTTGTATTTTAGTTTATATTGATTTAGAAAATATCTGCTTAAAAAATATATCTACTCTTTTTGAGCCATTTGAATAGTTTTAAATGTTCACTTCTCTTAAAAAGATTGTCTTTTCCATGCCTACTTTGAAATAAGCTGCCTTTTATAGTGAGATATGTACCAATGAAATGAACATTCTATTCCATCCTTAAATATTTAAACTTAGCTTCAGAATTAAGAAACACACTTTAGGTCCTGGCCAGGTAGCTCAGTTGGTTAAAGTATCATCCCAATAAAGTCAAGGTTGTGGGTTCAATCCCACATCAGAGTACATTCAAGAAATCGACCAGTGAATGCATCAATAAGTAGAACAACAAATCCATGTTTCTCTCTCTAAAACCCAAACATGTAAAATTTTTTAAAAAGAAACACGTCTTGATTGAATAATTTTGATTAAGGGTTCTCAGAGTCTTCTGCACCATATATCCTTATAATCACCTGTCATAAAGAAAACAGTTTGCTCGGCGGGTGTGGCTCGGGGGTTGAGCATAGACCTATGAACCAGGAGTCATGGTTCAATTTCCGGTCAGGGCACATGCCCAGGTTGAGGGCTCAATCCCCAGTTGGAAGCATTCAGGAGGCGGCTGATCAATTATTCCCTCTCATCATTGATGATTCTATTTCTCCCTTTCTCTCTGAAACCAATAAAAATTTATTTTTTAAAAGCTTTAAAAAGAGAAAAGATGGGACACAAGATGGCGCTGCCCTTCGCATGTTCTCAGTGCCTGTGCCGCTGGGGAGCCAAAGGATTGGAGGCTGCTGCTGAAGCCCACAGAGGTGTCAGTTTCAAACTGGAAGAGAAAACCGCCCACAGCAGCCTGGCACTCTTCAGAGAAGACACAGGTGTCAAATATGGATTGGAGCCCACCAAACGCTCCCTGAATGTGGAGCGTTTCTGGGAG